AAAGGGAAAGGGAAAGGGAAAGGAAAAGGAAAAGGAAAAGGAAAAGGAAAAGGAAAAGGAAAAGGAAAAGGAAAAGGAAAAGGAAAAGGAAAAGGAAAAAAGGAAAAGAGCCAGCCTTCTGTGTATCAAATCATTAAAGATACAGGGGAGTACTGAAAGCCACCAAGATGCAAAGGAAGCAGGTGAGATGTAAAGAACTCATACCATTCAAACCATCTTAAAAAGAAAAAAAAAATCTTTTTAGGAGGACATCTGCTTGATGGCAGAGATTAATAGAAGGGAAACAAACAGATATACAGATATACAAAGCAAAATAACTGTAAGATGGAGGTTTAAGGTACAACAATTAAACTCAAGCAGCCACTGAAAAGAGTCCAAAAGCTAAAGCTGCCTTAGTTACAGAACTGAATATTGAACATTTTCCATGCCTTTTCTTCATTATATTCCCATCTTCTTTATGGCAAGGATATGCAGTTCTAACATGCATCCAAGTGCAGCCAGGCTATAAGAGATTTAACTTGCAGTCTGCTGATAAAACAAACATATTTTTCTCTTAAAATATCTTTACTTTTGTTATATAACTCAGTATTTCCACACAGGCAGAATTCTCCACCTCTGAGATACATTATGGATAATTTTCACGTGTGYAGAGCACAGGTTTGAAGACACACCTAACAAAAGCATCAAACTGGGACAAATAGGTAGTATGTGTAAAATATGATAGCTCTGTGGAAGACAACAGGCTGTGCCTACTCAAACCTGTATTCAAAGTGACACAGTGACTCAGAGGCATTTCCAAAAGGGAACTTTCTTCATTAGACAAGGAACTGGGGCATGACGCTTCCCTCACCTAAATTTAAATTAAACACATGCAAACTTCAGTTTTCTGATAGAATTACAGTCCTCGGATACACCAAACCCCTGCTCTGCTTTTCGTGTGCTGGGCTTACAGGAAACCTCTTCTGTCACTTCCAGCACATCTGCCCAGCAGCAGGGCAGGATATCCTATCCTCCTAGCACTCTCGGCAGCAGCAGCAGCAGGGCAACTTACTCCACGTTCCTCTCCACAGCAGCTCGGAAAGTAGCCTGAAAGTGCTGCTGCATTCGACTAACTCCTCTTCCTGGGCCTTGAGGAGCCAGTGGAGAGTGTGGAGGGCCACATTCAGCCCCTCTGGCCACCAAGTGTTTATATCAACACACTTTCAGATCAAGCATTCCAGCCCGGGCAGCTGAGCGTCACGAAAGGCACTGCTTCCAAGCAGCCACAAACATAACTGGTTTTAATAGATTCTGATTTAGGCTAGCACTTTCTTTAATCCCACTTGTACCCATATGGGAGCTTCCAGAAGAGTTAATTTGCAGCATGCAATGCTGAGATTAAGCCACATTTGAAGGAAATGAGGTAGCTAAATTCCTACTCATCCCTCTAAACCTGAGCCATGTAAGTGTAAGCAGATGTGCAAGACAGATCAATACTTTATTAGCTCCACAAACCACCATTCACTTGTGTCATGTGAAAGAGAAATCCCTAAACTCTAGTCTGTATGCAAGGGGACCCTCTCCTTAACCTTYGAAGTGATGCAGCATCATCTATTCCTGAGACCAAATACTTGGCTTAGCGTGGCAGGGATGCAACAATGTAACTGGAAGCGGGTACAGTTACAGCTAGCCTGCTGGTGATCAACACTGTCACTGCATGTAATTCAGCGTGAGGAATTCTGCAAATGTTTCCATAATCGCATGTGACAGCAGCAAAAGAAATGTGACTCAATGTGACTAAGAGGAAAAAAAGAAGCATCCTTTGCATATCTGAGGGGCTCTGAAAAGCCGTGACCAGAGGTACACCAAATGAGTTTTCTTATATAAATCATATAAAGCTCATGGAATGTGATATACTGATAAAGCCAAAGGCCGATGTCTTTATTCCCCAGGAAGATATGAGCAAAAGCTTCCAGATTTGAAGTTTTCTGGCCACCACATTCCTGCCCAACTCTGAAGAGAGAAAGCCAGCACATTCTTGCAGACCCTTCAGTTTATGCCTCTCTGCCAAGATTGCCACCCCATATTAGAGTCAAAAGTAATGAAATTCTGTGTGGAGACTAGCAATGCTCACTATATGCAACTCTTAATGGACACAGAGCAATAAAAACATACAGAGGGCTAAACCCGAACAGACAACTCCAAAAGGCAAGTTCCTCCAGGCCTGTTCCTTCGGCAGCCACCTCTCTCCTGTCCAGGTAACTTGCAGAGTCCCCAGACCAACATCACTTGAGGGTGCGTCCTGYGTCCTGGGGTGAATAAACTTGCCATTCTTGGCAGGTTGTACCCAGAACATCCATCACCTGAGTGCTTGTCCTAAACCCTTCCTAGCTCAGRAGGGCTAAGGTGGGAGCTCAGAGAAGGTCCTTCAGTGAGCCTCTGCAGCAGCAAGAGAGCACAGAAGGGACACCCAGGAAGAGTAGGGGTGCACATGCCCACGGCATCGCCAGCCACCATGACATGCGATGGTTTCACTGCATCCAGCCTCAATCACTGCAGCACACTKCAGCAGTGCAGCAGTGCAGCACATACACTCACATGGCATCACACTGTAGCAYCTTACAAGCACCTTTCTGAACAGCAATCCCCTTACACAGTGTCCTGTTCCATCCCCAGAAAGGCAAGGCAAATATCAGAGCTCTGGCACTGGACTGCTTGGGTTACTGTTAAACCATTGGGCTGGTCCCATCTATCAGCACTGATGGCATAACAAAGTTATGCCCTTCCATCACAGAACTTGTCAGAAGAACAAAACCTTATTTTCCAGTCTTGGCAGACTATCATTTTATACCCAAAAGCATAAAGTGTAATTCCTCTTATATCATCTGCACAGCTGGAGATGTTAATAGATAAAAAATCAATATTACGAACTTTACTATGCTTTTTMATAATTTCTTGAGGCAGCAAATGGTGTAGCACTTAGAAGAGATTAATGGTTCTCAGCTGCCATTCCAGAGATGAGAGATCTGTACTGGACTAGTATAGTAATAACTGGGTTCTAGGTTCATATTATTTCAGATTCAAGAAACAGCATCTTTTCTCCATCTTGTTTTTGCTCCCCTGCATACCAAAGTAAGCATGTGACTCTCACAAATGGAAGTTAGTGAGAGTTWTCAAGAAGACAAACTAATATATCTTAAGGAAAAGGAAGAAAAGATGCAAATATAACAATTTTCTTAATAAAGTAACGAAAAGTGTTGAAGAAGTAATAACCTCCAAGAATTGCTGTTGGTCAGATAAATACCAAGCAGCGGCAGAGGAGCTTTAGGAYGGACACACTGGATAAAAACAGTCACCCATGACCTGTACAAAGAAGTCTGTAAAACAATGAGGRTTGCTACACCACTCCTAACACCAGATAGTAAGACAGTGGCCTGCAAATCAAAGTCTGCCTATAATACTACAGATATAGTTTGTGGAGGCTGTCATAGGGCTATAGAAAGCACAGTAAAATGAATCTAATTTAGAAACATCTGCCTAGAGCCTACACAGCGAATTTCACTTTGATAGCAAGTACAGCTTAACCAGCATCTCTAGTCTCTCTAAATAACACCTGGGTATTAAACAGGGGGGATTTGCTGATCTGTTCCAATTTAGAGGAATAGGATGAAATCCTCATTATTAGTCCAGTCCTCACTGGAGCTATATTTCGGTGAATGTATATATGAGCTAGCTGAACAAGCTGGAAATTCAATTTCCAGCTGGTTCAATTAACCATTTCTCACAAGATTCAAAACACAAAGACAGATACCACGTCACAACCTGTTTGACTTCATGCAGCTACAACACAATTGGCTTGATGGGGCTATGCAAGACCAAGGTCCCTCAACAAAAGGCAGCAAGAGTTGGACATTTCACAGTTCTTGTCTGTCCTGACAGCATTTTCAGGGAGGATTCCTGCCTGGAAATTTTTTTGGAGAAAGCTCTGAGGACAAGATGTATTTCAGCTACAGACAGACCACTTCTTTGCTCAAATATGTCCCGTTAAAACAAGCCACAGATACAATCAAACCATCTTACCTGTGTCAAATCCAAAACTTGGCACAATGTCCACCGTCCCATGAAAGGCTCCAGCCCATGCTGAGGTAGCGCTGGTGACAGCAGCGGGATCTGTCTTTGTCACGTCACACTGAGGAGCGGGAATCCTGGCTGCACGTACTGAAGGCATCAGCAGGGACCCGTACCGTGGGTCACGGTGCGAGCTGGGATGGTGATGGTGCATGTGTGGATGAGGGTGATGGCGATGCATGTACACGTCATGCATGTGTGCATACGAAGGGCTCACCTGAGATGCTAAAGGATAATGCCAGGATTCAGATGCAGCAGGGGGAGGAGGTGGTGCAGTCTGATGAAGGCTGTGTCCTGGCCAGCTGCTGGGATCTGGTGGTGGGAAGGTGCCGGGTGCAGTAACGGGAAAATCAGGGTGTACTCCACTTAAGCATGGTGGAGGGGGAGGCTGATAAGAGCTGGTCCAAAATGAAGTTGGGAAACTGCTCCTTTGRCTTGAAATTGTTGAGCTTTCTGGTGGAAAGGAGAGGGGAGAAATGAAGTATGAATGAAGCTGAATAACACATTTGAATGAAGAAAGAGGAAGAAAAAAAGAAAGMAGGATTGTCTTTCTCTGTACTCTGTACATTGACTCAAGCTTCCTCAGTAATTTCAATATGAAGATCCTAACTCCTGACCTAGAACTACCGTTTAGAAAACAGAATATACCATTTAGCTGTCTTGACTATAATGCTTCTGAGGATGATCAGCCAGCTCATACTGCAGAAGCTGAGACATTTGGCTAATGGCAGAATACTACATCCCTTCAAACCAGCTGCAAGCTTTGATGGGGCAGAGATCATACCTAATGTATCTCAAACTAGTCCCTTATAGAATATATCATGTTGCCCTGCAGTATCAGACAAATTGACCCATTCAAGGAACTCAAAAAAAAACATTGTCTGGAGTAAAAGCTTTGCTGCTTCTTATGAACTAGAGCTCAACTTTTATTTAAATGGATTGCAATACCTCTACATTATGAAATTGCATTCTAAAAATTCCTCTTCTGAAGGAGTGGTTAGTGTTTTTGATGTGTAGGAAAGCATTAGCATCTTCACTCTCACATCTTTCTTGCCAAGTGATGTTTGAAAGTACTGCTTCATGCAATATGTCTCAGCTCAAATAGCTTTTTTTTTCTAGTCAAAGATGGAAACAAAAAAATGTGGGACTTTACCTCTGATGAAAGAACAAAGTCATAAAAATGGCCTATGGAGAAATAAAGCCAGGGAAGTTTAATATTTGACAAGGCAAGGAATCCTCTGTTCCTCACATAACATTTACAAAAATATTTATATCAAATTTTTTTTTTAAGTGACCTTTTGTTTTACTTTGTTTAACAAGCAACTGGAATGAGACTTAGGTGAAGACATCATTGAGAATAAACAGATTCTTCAAACACTCCTGCCTCTGAACTTTGCTTACTTTAAACAAAAATATTTTGGAAACACAAAAACTGTAAAATTTTTTTCTCTGGCTGCATCGTTAGGACGCTTGCGTGTCTATTTCAGAATCCATTAAAACAACGGAGATTTTTTTCCATGCACCAGTTGTCTTTGATTTAGGCAGTTTACTGAGCCTGATTAACTTCTAATATTGGAAGTGTCTTCAGGAAACAATTACAGACAAAAGTAGAAAAGTTATCTTTAGGCTAAACTGCTTCCAACAGAGCTGAAAGGTTGCAAAGGTTGCTGCTTTTTTTTTTTTTTTTTTTTT